TTTAAAGGAAAGCCACCATGTGACCATCATGATGTCAGAAACCATGTCAACCCTTCTTTGAGACAGAGGATGGACTAAAAGTTCTCTTGGTGGTCTTCCCTGCACTGATTTTTTTCATGAATCTATGATTATTCAGCTGCTATAACAGCTAGAAAGTTCAGTTTTAATTAGTCTGAAATAGGAAAATGTCTTTCATTCTTCTTGAAAATGTAACACAAATAATCTTTCATCTGGTAGAACCAGATGAAGACCTGTAGAAGTTGTGGTCGTGTAGGGACTATAGCTCTTCAAGAAGCCCTAGCCATAGCCTAGGAACTGAACAGCCATACATACATCTTCTGGCCATGGGCAGCACAGAGATGATTTATCTTAGCAAAAGCATCTCTACATTATTCACTGAACAAAGGTTGTGGGTCTGGCGGACATTACTGTGGAGCTTCTTTCTGCACTTTATGGTATTCTTAGCAACTGACCTTAGCAACTGATCTGAGCTTTCTCCTTTGCAGCAGGGCCCAAACAATAAATCAGACCGGTGTGCTGGAAAGAGAGAATTTAAGTATATAGGCAGGGATGGTGGTGAAGCAAACTGCAGAGTGCTCCATTAAACATATCACCTCAGTGTCTGCCCTCAGAAATTCATGTCTCCAGGGTGATCTTCTCTTTTGAGAAGTGGTCCTTTTTATATGGCAGGAAGCATTAGGTATGCTCATATCTCAGTCAAATAGTTTCCTACGCAGTGCCAACAGTTATTCAGCAGTACTCATTATGCAGGTGAGCTACATCACAGTGCTGCTACTCTGCAACACTCTGCAGATCTCTATGCACCATGTGCACAATGTCTGAAATATAAGCAAATTTATGCTGCACTCATCCTTTTTGTGGTTATTAGTGTCACTTAGTATCATCTTTCTCCAGCAAATTGACTCACCAAGCAAAATGCACAAGTGCACTTTAAAGCGGATCACATTATCACGCCTACTTCTTCTGGAGAGCCAAGTGTCATTACTACTTTTCACAAGGAATAACTGCCTAAACTGTTTCACATTCTGCAGTGCATCAACAGTGCTCTTCCTCTACTCAGTCTGCAGTTCAGAAGAGTGATGGAACAGTAACGCATGTCTATCTCATTGTTCTACATGGAGAGATAAAATCTAGTGCTCACTTTATGCCTCTTTAAAAGTTAGGGTATTTGTTTCTGGAGTCTTTTCATCAAGATATGCAGTTGTATATCACCTCTAAGCCCCTGATCATATTTCAGGTGTCAACAAGGTACTTGCACTAAAATTACCGTGTTCACTCAAAAAGCATATTAGAGGTTTCTCTCTCAACACTCCTGATTAGATGACATATCCCAACTGCACAGTTAATTCCACAGTCAGGTGTAGACAATAAGGACTAATGATGGCCAAGTGCTGATAGGATTTTATTTCCAAAATATTTTCAAATTATTCACTAGCACTCTTCCTTCCTCTGTGTGTATTTTCTAGGAGGTAGATGAAGTATCAAAGAAATACAAGGGTGCAGACTGTTAAATGGTAAGATTATGACTAAAACCATGAACTTTCAACCAGAAACTAGGAAATAAAATATCAGAAAGAAGTATTTTGGCTAAGAAATGGAATGAGAAGAGGTGCTAAGGGTCAAAATTGAGAACAACCAGCAATTTACTAAGCTGAAGAGCAAAGCCAGAGCCCAGTAAAACTCCATATTATATGTTTAGAGCTGAGATGAGAAGCTGCCAGTGCTTGAGCTAGACAAACTATGGCCACTCAATGCCCAGAGATGAGGATTAAAAAAATTAGAAAATAACCAAAGGAGTAAAGTTGTAGCCAGGGATTATGTTATGCAATCACACATTGAGAGAACTTCTTAAGCTTGGTTGCTACAGCTGTGTCTACCCAGAATTTTACGTGGGTCATCAGCCTTCTGAGACCTTGCCTGTGGTAGCCTGGTGGCTTTTTGCACTTTGCTCAGCAGTGCTTCTCAAGAGGCTGTCAGGAAAACCATCAAAGTAGACATCTGAGCTCAGATCTCAGTGATTTTTGATGGGACTGACCAAACTTTGTGCTTTTAAAAATCCACCCCTAGTTCTCTGCAAAGTGATGGCTTCCCACATGGTCTGTTATGCTTACAGCTGTGATGTTTGGTGTTTTGTGACCTCCTCTCACTCCACTTAATGTCATGGCAAAAGAAGGGTAATGATTCTTTTTTTTTGCAATTGTAACTAAAATGCTGCCAGAGCAGAGGGTACGTGTTGGCTGAGGTCTTTATTATGCAACTATATGCAGATCACTGTGAATTGCATCGTCTATCTAGTTCAGTGATGCAGCACCAAGGTCACTGGGCAGTTTTAAGCTAATGATGCAACCATAAGTCTAACAAATGTGCTTGGTAATCACAGCAAATGTATTGTCATTGTCACAGATGTTATTCTTTCAAAAGCACTTGGCAAACAACTAAAACACAGCCCTTGTGTTTGCTTTGACCTCTCCTAAGAATGCACCATCAGGAACATTGAGGAGATGAGATTCTTTAAGACAGTCATGGCCTACAGCTACAGTATTGGTATTGTTCATAGCATGCTTACAGTTTGCTTAGAATAAAGAGGCAACAGGCTAACTGAACATGAATCAGTGAAATTTTGACAGAGAGTAGATTTTGGAAAGAAACATATCCATGAATGAGACCAACACAGGTAGAGATCAATTCCTTATTACCATGATCTAGGCAAATCAACTTTAATTATGCAGTTGATTTTTGTAGTCATCATGGTGCAGTAACCCATTACTTTCTGATCCGTTTCTTATCTTTCAGGAAATACATTAATCAGTAAATGCATTGTGTCACCATGAGCTTTGTCATTATGTGCAGTTATTCCCCACAGGGCTTATCAAATGCTGCAATTGCTGTTTCTTTGGAAGGATATACATCATCTCCCAGGCTGGGTTCAACAGATGGTTGATATTATGCCCTGAAAAGTGGCAATCTACTGTTCAGAAATTGTTGCAGCTCCAGTGTCTTGCACCCTATCATATATATGTATATCTCTATTTTTACATATGTCTGTGGATATCATATATTCTTATGTATATAGTCTATTCTTATCTACCAGGCCAAGAAGTCCACAATGGTCTGACCACTACATATGCTCTTGACAATAAGGGAGAAAAAGGAAACTTAAGCCAAATTTCTTGAATTCTTCCTTTATTTATACCAATTATTGATAGGAACAAAGATGAGTAATTCAGCCTTACTGTAAAATTCACTTAAGACCATTCAGTGAACAGAAAATGCCAATATGTGAAGATGGTTCTTTAGCAAGGCACTGAAAAAAAGTGGTTGCAAGAGAGGTCTAAGTCAAGACACAGAGCTGTCTTTTCTCATTCTCAAATGACATAAACAACACAGTCATGAAATGAGGTCACAGTTTTGTTCATAAGCCCTTTGTGGCTTCTGAGCTAAAAATCCTAGAAAAATATTATTCTTTGCTAATGGAGCTTTTTCACCAAGAACCACATCATGTCCCCAATTCAATGTGTCAGCAGCTTTTTGCCCTCAATTCAGCTTACCAACAGTTAAACCATTCAAGGTCATACTATAACCTATTAGAGATGACATGTGACAAGATGATTTTTGATAAAGAGTGGAACTTTGGTACTACAGAAGTGGTCAGGGAGAGGAGGTCTCTGGATGCAACCTGACATTTTGTCAGCAGCTGCTAGTCAGATATAAAAACATTTTATTGCCCTTGCATAGTCAGCCATGTGCTATAGTTTCCTCTCACTCAGAATATATTCACTTTCATACCCCCCTGCATTTAGCTGCAATAGTACAGCAAAATGTTTACATTACAGCAGAATGCTGCATGCTTTTATCTGAGGGTGACCTTGAGTATGCCTGGCACACAAGAAGTGCAGTGGAAGGCAGGCAAACACTTTTTCTCCTACACCTCTGCCATACTGCCCATGTCCCACACTTATATCACCCTTTGAATTTAAAGAAAGGACCTTTGTAAATGCCCACTTTTGTGTGTGAATGCACATTAAGAACATTTCATGTGCATGCTATGAAGAACAAGAAACCAAAGACAGATTAGAAAACTTCACTCTTCAAAACCATAATTATTTTTCTCTTTATGTTCTGAAGCTTATTTGTAAGTCTCATGAATTTTTTTAACTCTTTGGAATGGGAAGCCTGAATTAAAAATCAGTACACGACACGTTACTGTTTTATAATCCTCTCTTTTGCAAGTTGAAAGCAACAGTTTGCCAACCTTGCATTTAAACTTGCATGGAAAGATGAGTTAAATATGAGAGCCCAAGCAAGAGAAAATACAAGAAAGCTAGATGGTGTTGGGAAAGCCTGTCCAGAGAGTCAGAACAAGAGCTTATTACCAAATATACTTGTTTTAAACTGATCTTAGATCAACATTTATTTTTGATGAACTAACAGTTTGTGCTAGTGACAATAACATTTTTAGATTTAGGATGTATACACAAGAATAACATGGTCAAAAGCATCACCACAGCTATGCTGACTTTTAGAAAGGAGAGCTGGGTAATAATGAGGGTTCTTGTTTCAAAGTAGAAGGATATCTAAGACAGTTAAACCCTCTCAGCACAGAGACTGCTGAAGGACACCATACTGGGAGCACAGCACCAACATGTACCACTTACTGGAAATCCCTTGGGAAAAGGCAAAAGGAAATTGGCACAGAAAAACAGTAAAGCAAGGGAAGTTACTGAAATTAAGATCTTAGCATTCAAAATTATGAAGATGTGTCTCAGTGAAGAAAAGAAAGAAGTTACAAATTCTAAGAAAATAAACATAAAATTATAATTATACTTCCATTTGCTTTGTAAATGTTGTGGCAAGGTGTTCATTTTCCCCATAAGTAATTTGACTTGTCTATGGTATCAAAAGACAAATTGATGGCTCCATTCACTGCTTCCCCTGCCATTCATATCATGCAGATCAGTATGAGAATGAACATAAAGTGCTGCAGAATAGAGTAATTTTATTCTTATTTTAGACAGTAAGAATGATAATAGGACGTGTAGGACAAAACCACATCTAAATGTTTCTAAACCATCTTTTCTGAGCTCTACAACTACTGCAACCATATGAATTTGTCCCCATTCAGACGTGAGAATGCTATTAATGCATGGTAAATCAAAGTGCCTGATTTTTATATCCATACCCTGCAGTCACTTGACATGTTTATCTGTGCCTTATTACTGTCAGATTTACTCCCTGATACAGCAGGGCCAAATTTATCATGTTTACATTTGCTGATCTTCCAAATTCACACAATTCCCACTTATGTGCCATTAGATCCTGCCTCGTTATAGCCACAATTTGCTCCAGGGTCATGCCTCCAATTTGGTCTCTCTGTTCCCATTTTCATAGCCTTGCAGTAAAGAAATGGATAAATGCAGCATTTTTTCCATAAGTGAGTTGTGTTTTTTTAAGGAATTAGCTAAGTATACATTACCTTTTGTTTACTATTCATGACCTCTAGTCTGAACTAGTTCTGCTGGAATTCAATAAAATGAATTCCAGAATGGCTTGCATAAGAATTCTTTAAAAAACCTCCAAATACGACAGCAATGAAAAATATTTTTACCAAAGGCTCTTGCAATTCAGAAAGAGAGTAACTAGCTTGAGGACAAACTGATCATCTAATTTACCTCTGACTTGAAAAGGATTAGGAACACAATTACTTTTGTGTATTCTTAAACAGCTCTGCCATACTAAGCTTCTGCCTAAGTGCCTGCAGCACACTCAGGACCCTCTGTCCCAGAATCACCGGCCTGCTGTCTAGGAAGAAAATATTTTGTAAACGATTCAACAAAGAGTTCAAAACAATCAACTGAGGATAATCAAGATCATAAGAATACGCATCAAGAAGAAAGGCATCATAAGACACTGAAGAAATAATCTGCTACTATTGATTTCCCTCACATTTCCATTTATTTCATCTATTTACTTTTCCTACCTCTTTCTACACCCACCTTAATTTTCTCTTCTACGTCATACTTAGATTTTTTTTATGTTGTGACTGCACCCATCTGCAATTCTTCTTGATGGCTCAATATTTCTAATACCATATTTTAAAACATCATCTTGTGCATTCTGTACTTTATTGCCATTATATAAATGTTTGGTTGCCCTAAAATTAAAAACAGCAAATATATTTTTGAGGGGCAGATAAAATTTTGGAGATTTGTATTTTGCTTGTTCAAATACTGTTCTGCCTTTCAGCAGACATTTTTAGGGTTTGCCTTTATTTTGAGTGGTGCTTTCCTGCAGTTACAGCAGGCAGTGGTTTGGTGAAAATTTTAAAATATATCATTATTGTGCATTAAAAGCAGTACCATGGTGTTTTGGACAACAGCACCTCTTAAAATTAAAAAAGAAAAAAGAAAAAACAAGACAACATTCCTAGGTTCCCTCTGTTGTATCAGCTTGTTCCTGGCCAATTCTTCAATGTCACAAAACAGGGTCACTCAGTCTTCATCATAAAAAAAACCCCAAACCCAAACATGTAAATTCTGGATATTAATTAGTAATTATATAAGATGGCAAGCTGTTTTTTAAAACAAATAAATACGCATTTTCGCTTGATTTACTATGTCCATTAAATATTTACATAATTGCATTCTAGTTACTCTCTAGCATATGTATTATAAATACTCAGAACAGGATTTTTAATTTTAATTATAATTTATTTCTTTTTTTTTTTTTTGCACTTTTACTAACTTCTCAATACAATTTCTTTTCTTTAAGCTGTAAGACTGTCAAAACACCATTATTTTAAGGCCATCTACCTGTTAGCTTGATTTTTTATTTCATTATCAGCCATTAGGAAAAAAAACAGTAAGTCATAGAATGTAATTTTGTTAATGGAACTTAACACAACTCTAGGCAATCTGAAAATAAGTAAATAAACCCTTGCCCCCCCAACAACATAAACAGACTGTGAGAAAACAAACAGAAAATTCATCTCAGAAAACTGTTAGAAGTGCAAAAAGTCCATAAAGTAAAGCACATGGGTATGCAATCAGGAGCTGCTGTCCTTCCATAGCCAATGCAGACGTGAAAATTTTGGAGGCTGACAAACTGCACCATCCAATAATAAACAGAGCTAACACAGTTCCTGGGATCCCCCTAGGGAAAAAAAAAAAAAAAAACCAACAACACAAAAACAAAAACAAAAGAAACATGACAGAGTCCATATATTACTAAATGCAGCATCAAATCTTACCAATCTCAAGTTCATGTCTAGTGGCGTGTTGTTCATAGGTAACACCCAATGGAAAAACCAAGAACTAACTGACATAATGAAAGTAAAGCACGAGAGCAAATTAAAATTGTAACCACAAACAGGAAAGTAATATGTTCAGCATGGATAAAAGCTTCATCAGAAGTACTGCTAATAGGATTCTACGTTTACAAATAAATCTTCTGGGCCTCCAGCAGATGCAGCTGCTTAAGTTTAATATCAAATTTAGTCAAGTTTCCATTTCCGCCAAAATCATCTTACAGAGATTGTTAGGTTCTAAAATGGCCCTACAGACCTACTTTTCCGTCAGAAAGCCCGATGATGTGGAGGGATTGCATTCTGGTAACACAGAGAACAGATTTTAAGGGGCCTTGGACACTCAGGAGAGGCTCTGAAAGACTCACACCAGCTGGATGGGCAGAAAGGTCTCCCAGGAAAAAGCTTGACTGGCCTTTTAAAAAAGTGAGCACACTAAGCACAAAGTAAGGAATGGGAAAAGAACCACCAAGGAAAAATACTTTGTTTATCTTGGCATCCTTCTCTGCACATTGAAAGGCCTGTGACTTTCCACCCTACCTCTTGGTGACAGCTGAGCCCATTTGAAGTCACACTGTACCCCTTCCAGGAGCAGGGAGGCCTGGAGAATTGGTGATTATGGGACTATGGTTAAAAGCCCACTGAAATACTCCTGCAGATTACAGAGGGCTCACTATTAAACCCTGTGAGAACAAAATCTTGCCAATAAATAATGTTTCACATATGCTTTATTTGCACTCTATTTGCAGCCTGCTTCTGTAAAATGCATGAGATCATGTGCATAATACACTGCTGAAGCACATAATGAGATAGCTACTTTGCACACTTTAGCTGTGTCAGTGTCAAGGACTTTGAGAAAGAATAAACCTCTGCCACTTCCTAAAGGCCTTCCTGGCACCCCACTCTTCCAAAGCATCAGCATAACAGAAGCACAAGGGAAAAAGCAGACTGTGTATACATACTCAGGTAGGTCCTTTAGCAGAAATTCTCTCCACTAATATAATTATTGCAACTAAACCATGATGAATAAAGCTGTCCTTATGTAATTGGCTTAGTTTTCTTAATGCATTCACATCACATAAAATAGTTGATTTCTTAGCAATCCAGTCACCAGGCCAATAAGGTACTTGGTGTTGCCAGCTCTTGGGCCTTTGAGGGAGGAAGGAAAGAATTGATTTCACGGTGACTCAGCACCTCACTGCAATTTCAACAATTTAAAAATAAAACATTAAAGACCATGTGATTTAATATCATCAGTTTAAGTGTTTTTTAAACCAATATAGTAGCATTCAGGGAAATTCCATTGGGCTTTGCAAAGCAAGTTCCTGGTCTCTCCTCCAAGGAGATGCTAAGTTGCTCACCTAAACTGTGAGCCAGAAATTCAGAGCTGGTACGGATGGCTCTTTGAGCAGGTACCCATTCTGGCAGAGGGATGGGATGCAATAGGAACATACTGTGCAATGACAATCTCCAGCTAACATAATGACTCTTAGGGGGCTGTCACAATGTGGCACAATTTACAGCTGTGGCTGCTCCGCCTTGCACTGAAGTCCAATGGCCTCTCATGGTTTCTTCCAGGACTGGCAGAGAGCAGGACGGAAAGGTGGCATAAAAATCATATCAGAATCAAGAGGTACCTTTGTGCACAGACAACTTCAGTCCTTGATCTAACAATGTGTTACTGCTAAAAAGAATGGTTTGGCAGAGAGCTTTCTGTCTGGCATGTTCATGAGGGTCACATCCTCTAGACGGGAGAAGGGCAAAAAGCACAAGTCATGCTTACAGCAACCAAGAGGACTGGTGTGACATTGAGAAGGAGGGACACACGTGAGTGCCCTTTCCACTTCCCTTTCTCTCAGATCCTGCAGATGCTGTCACCAATGTTCTTGGCATAAGCTGGGTGTAAGAATTTCTTTCTTCATGCTTACATTAATTTCCTTCACTGTTTAGTTAAGGAAGTAGCTTTACCCCCCTGTTTGGGGACTTGATATTAAAGAATTGTTGTTGCTTTCTGCAACATCTGCAAAAATGTCTATTGATGCTTCTCCCAGAAAGACGGCCTAATAAACTTGGGCTCACACATAAAAACAGCATAGATGGACTCAAACAAATCTAGTTCCATGAAAATTTGAGTAAGAGAAGTGGTATTCTCCTTGGTACTATTCAGTACCCCAAATGTTCCATATTTTGCTTTATTTATTTACAGGGAAATAGCTAATCATGAAAATTGAAAATTATTAGATTACTATGTATCTTTGCCATAGATGAGTGCATTATCTTATGTATACTTTTGGTGAAAAAATATTCAGATTATTTCTTTGAACTTTGAAATAGAGATAATGTTTTTTATAAATATTTTTTTAAAATCATAAATGTATTGCTCTTTTTTTTGCCATTTAAAATACTTTTAAAAATGAAAAATAATGTATGTTGGATTTTAAAGTTGCCACTTAATTTTAACAGCATGTTTGCAATAATTAACCATGGTACTTGATGCTTTCAAGCAGTTTCATATACCAAATGAGAAAGGACTGCAGAACCCTGCCAGCAGGTACTTAATGTTAGCAATTTATTTTAGAAATACCAGTTAATTTTTGTCAAGGCTATCACGTTTTAGTATTTATAGATTTTCAAAAGATGTGCTTTCTGTCAATTCACAGCATTTTACAAACGTGTAGTGTCTGCCTGGGGATCCATCTACAGAAAACAGTACCCTGCACAGTTGTAACAGCTGGTTTGGAATTCACCCCATCTGTCTTATGATTATGTATCTGCACATTTTATTAGGCTGGATTATTAAACAGGTTAATCAAGAAAATATAGGAAGTGTAGGAGAACAGAGAATAAACAGCTTCTTTAGTGTCATCATCCATCTTATCAAGAACAGCTCAGAAACACTTAAATACATGGAATATGGTCAAGTTAAGCCATCATAGCTCCTCAGAAACATGCAACAAGAATTTTTCAAAAACTTCATTCCACCATATAATTTCCATTATATATATATATACATAAATATATATACACACACATGTAAGAATGATGCTTTTCCAAAGAAAACAAACACAGGCATTTTCTCGTTCATCAGCTGCTGGGTTCCATATGTTACAGATTGGAGAGTTAAAAATATGAGAGAACAAAAAAGACTAAGGAGGGAATCATTAATAACATGCCAACAATAGGTAAAAGCACTGCTCAAGGCCTTCAGGCAAGATCTGGAACTTGCTTGTACTTTGCTGTGTGTGAACAGGGAGATAAACACTGGGTCTCAAAGGGCTTACTGAACGAGGAGAAATGAGAGGCTTGCCAAAAAGTTTCCTATTCAGAGAATATGACTGAACAACCCCCGACATGTGCACAGATACATACACCACTACACATGTGTTTTTTCAAAGTATTCTGTTTTTTTTCAGGCTTGCAATTGCACCACAACTATACCTCAGAATACACAAGTCTACTGTATCTCAAACACTTGTCTGAATTCTCCACATCATTAAGGGTAACTTGGCTATTTCATTCTGTCCCACAGAGTCAGTAGGAAAGAAACATAAAGATGGGAGGCCTGATGCTATGAACAAAAAAGAAGCAAGAGAACCAGCTATATAAACCCAAAGTTCAGGAATTGCTTTTAAAATTGATAGGTGAGTTTGGCCACTGTTGGCTCTGCAAAACAAAAATTACAACTGAGGCTGCTGCAAAATCAAGAGCACTCTCAGTCCAAATGGAAAGCATTGGAATTGAAGACTCATATCAAAATGAATGCATACCAGCCTTCTCAAATACAGTATAGTTTTTTCTGTTTCCACCTATATGTACCTATATGTACAACCAAACTGGTGTTACAGTTTCAGAAGCCAAAACTTACGACGTGACCGCTTATAAAACGTTTTGCACTACTCCAACCATCTGACTTCCTGTCCTTCACAGGATTCCTGTTGCCATGGGCTGGTACTTACTGCAGTGAGAAGACAACCGCAGAAGAGGACAGGATGACCATGGGCAGCAGGCAGTAGCCCAGGACACTTGCGACGCAGCCGTGCGAGACTCCCGAGACGCTCATCAGGTTGAGCAGGGCGTGCATGGCAAGGCACCCCATGGCACTCATCCCATACACGTAGCCAAAATGAACTTTCCCTGCCTGGAATAAATAAGAGGAAGCATGAGCTGACAGAAGTGAGCAGTGATCACTAAGTGCTAGCAGAAGATAGGTTTAGGTTTAGGTTTAGGTTTGTTACTCCTTATTGACACTTTCTCTCTGCTTCACCTGCGTCAGTTCAGTTGTGAACCACAGATGATACTTATGGGTGATTTTTGCATAAAAATAATTCCATGGTGAAATTGACAAAATGTACTTGGTGCTAACTTGAATTTACAAGGCTGATTCTCAGTCTTGCTGTCATTCGACTCTGAACACAACTGGAATTGGTTGGGAGATTTTGGAAAGTTTAACTGGCAACACACTAAGAAGAAATTATGGAAAGCACATTTTAGTCATCAAAAATCAGTTTAGGCTCAGGAAACATCTTTTCAATAAGTGTATATGGGGCTGTGAAAAAGTGCCCTAAGTAATACGATGGCCCAGGTTACCTGATACGCTTCACATTTCATTACAAACCTTCAGCTATAAGCAGGTCTGCAAAAAATTGGGAAAATTTTGCTTAAACTATGGTGGTTTTCAGGGCAAAGTTTTCCCTTGACTACCATAAGAAAGATACATTTCTGTGCTTAGAACAATACAACGTGTTCATTTCAACATAAAACTCGGTGGTAACTGTCAGCTTATGTTCTTTTTTTGTTCTAACAAATTAAAAAATCCCAGATTTTTTTTTCCTTCTAGGTTTTATTCCTTTGTTTGAATTTATTGCCTATGAAAGGTACCAGCCTGGCAGCCTGGAGCTTGATGTTTTCTAATTTATACACAAAGCTAGTAAAACAGGCAACTGTGGCCATAGCACCACCAATTCCTTCATCTCCTGCCATCATTTTGAAGGATCCCTCCAGGCATAAGGGCATTGTTCACTCCCCAAAATAAACCATCACAAAGACTCTTAAATATGTTTTTATCTCTCTTCAAGTTTCTAACAAATTAAATGCTGAAAGTTGGCTATGCAATACTGTCATTTTCACATCTGTACATGAGAAAAACATTCATAAATCAGAAATCTGGTTTTTTTTCTTGGAACTTTGTATCCTAATGATAGAATGCACCTGTGAAGCAGAAAGTTCAGACTTGGAACTTAACCATTTACTCAGAGCCATGGAGTAAACTTCTCAAATGAAGGGGCAATATGCATCACCTTCCTGACACATAATAAGGTGTATGTACATACATAAAACACAAGTGTGTTTGTTCATACACACACACAAAATCTATATGTTGCACACACTATATAATATATACAAGACCGCATAAGACTCAAAACTAATAGATGGTCTCAGTTTCCTAATAATGCTGTTGCTTTTGGTTTGATTCTGTTGTGATGGATTAGGTGGAAATATTGTTGATTCTTTTATCATGTTTTGTGATACTTGCTAGATTATCTCCCATGATGGCTAAGGAGGATTGAGAAGACTTCTGACTTTACTTATCCATACATTTTAAGGAAATCTGGGGTAAATCAACTTTGAGGACCCTTCTCTGCCCTCTCTTTCTATATCCATGCATGTGGAAATTTATCACTGGATGCCAGCAGTATTTGAGCTGGACAGACATAAAGCAACAGTATGGAGAAGGCCTACAAGTGATAGCACACTTCCAATCCTGATGCTGCAGGTTGGTGGCAGCTCACCCGCTCTCATTGGAGAGCAGTTCATGAACATGAAAGGCAACCTGAGTTAGTAAGATCTGACTTTACATCAGCACCATTAATCCTGTCTGCTCTCTGACCTGGCTCACTGCTGAGCTCTCCTCTGATCCCAGTCCTCAGGGTTAAGTCAGGTACAGCCAGATTGCCTATATCCTTCCAGCATCCTGGCCTTTTCCCCATTACTGTCTTCCACCATAAAGAATAATCTATTCCTGCAATCACAGCATAAGAAATCTTCCTACTTAGGTACAGATTTCTTTTGCTGGCATTTGCATACTAATGGTATAAAATAATAAGGGAAAATAGCTTGAATAAATAAAACAAATGATAGCTAGAGATAGTGTGGGAGAGCAATACTAGCTCAGATGATTATCAACTAGAATTTCAGTCATTATGGATAAACAGTAAGTTTAACAGTCACAATGGTTTGGGGCAGCCTTTGCTGTACACCAGCTAAGTAAAGTTCTGTCTCAAAACAGATGCATCAGCTACAAGCTATATTTTAGACTGTTTGTTTCAGTGTATATAACTGTTCCACACAGCAGTATTTATTTATTAGCTTAGTTTAAGATTAAAAAATTCCTGAGCCAGAGATGAAGGGAGCACTAGCACCAGCAGCTAGCTGAGATCTCCAGTTGGTGAAATGTTGGATTTGTGGTGCAAGGATATGAGAGGATAAAAAAAAAAAAAAAAAAAAAAAAAAAGCAGCTGAACATGTTGGTTCCGATTTTATTCTTACTTAACGTATGTAAATATATTGACTCACACACACGGGAATACTCCCCGTTCACAGTGATGTAAGCAAAACCAGAATCAGGCTTGATTAGTCTGACAGGCTTTGATGAATGGAAAGAGCTAAATCTGTCCTGCAGAAAGAGCAAGGTTAGCAGAAAGTCAGACTTTGTGTTCTTGCTTGCATCTGCCTGGAGTGGGTACTACCACCGTTGGCTGGAGAGGATGGGGAAATCTGATTTCATTCAAATGACAGTGTAAAATGCAAAAAAAAAGCAGCTGAGACATGAGCTTCTGCTAAATTTTGGGCTGCCTTTGTTTCTCTATCTGCAATGGAGCTGCACTGTTTTACACTAACGTGAGGAAGAACAAGTCCTGCTGCCAGGCTAGCAGCCCTTTCCTCTTTTTGTCTGCAAGGACTGCTACCCTTTGAAGAATATCTTTGCATAATTTTCCATAGTTAAAAAGCTGAAACTAAAGAAAATGTATACATTATTTTTAGAAACAAGCTCTCAACCAAATGATGTTCCTAGTGCTATCAGAAGATACTTATTTAAGTACAGAAGGATATCATAGTTTACACAGCTGAAGAGACATGTTAGTATTCAAATACATCTGAGATAAAATGGTAGCCTGAATTTCTAAGATAAATCCAAAGGCTTACTGCTGGGAAGTTATGGAACAAAAACACTGGATTGTGTCAGAGGTGTTCTGCTGACCTAAAACTGAAGCATTGAAAATACTTGGCTTTCTAATGACACCTAAAATGCGTAATATCTCAGTAAAAGTATGATAATTAAAGTAACTTATTTCAATAATAATAGCTTAATATTCATTATAACTATTGGCTATTCAGGGAGAAAAGTCAACAGGAAATATTTTTTCTGTTCTTTCTTTAGCTTTCCTTTCATTTTCTTGATTATAATTAATTTAACTTTCTCTTTTTACTACCCTCATACATTTATTTCTCCAGGTGGAAAATAGCCTATCTTCTCTAGCTTCCCACCTTCTTTTCCTTTTATTCCCTTTTCTCCTGCCCCTTCCACCCTTTTAAAAGATTTTTATTTTTACAGGAACATAAATAATAATAGTACTTGCCATTTATATAGCAGTTTGCACATTCAAGGTACCGCACTGACATTACAAATTGAGTAAGAACTTTCAAGAATCTTCTGATTCAGCACTATTTATCACAGAGGAAATGGAGAATTAGAGCCCCTTTCCTCTCACCTCGGTTGCAGGGCAGTAAAGCCCTTCCCAGAATGGTCCCACCTTACTGCTGTCTGATGAATTGCTGCTGGCAGTCAGAGCTGTACTTCAGCAACACTGGAGAGCCCCTGTTGCCAGGGATATATAGATGAATTTGGAGTTCTGTACAACCCTGTTAAACTTTCCTCCTGTAGGAAAGCTATATTCATAAAGAAGAAGGAAGTCAAATACAGGCTACTATATTTTGTTAAGCAGACAATATAGAACAAAGAATATAAAATAAGAAAGTAATAGCAAAATGTATAGGAAGGCAAATTTAAGGGGGTGGGAGAAAAAGACTGTTTCCATTTCTTTTTTCTCTAATTATTCTAGTTGTATAAAGATTTTATTTTTTTTTTAGTCTATGTGTCTTTGCACTCTCTAAAATAACATTGAAGAGATAACATTAGATAATTCTAAAAAAGTGGCAAGAGTGTTAGAAAAAATGGGCTGCCCTGCTATTCCTTTTTATTCCCTCCTTTAAAAGTATTCAGAGCCTTTCCAGATTATATATGGCACAGATCTGTCCTTCAGTTCATATTAAATCCCACCCCAAAAATGGCGTGGTCTCCTCTTTCCACTGGAAGCAATAAATCACTTTACCTGTGTCACCTTTACATTACATTTAAATTTTACACAGGTGCTTTCAAAGTAGGAAGAATTTTTAACACATAATCCCAGAATAACTGGCAGCAAATTACTCTTTTCATGCTGGTACTACATCTTCTGCAGCTTCACACTCATTATCACCTAGGCATGAGCTTGTTAGAAAAGAAATCCCTGAAGATTTCTACGACATCCTACCATCAGCAATGTTGCTCCAAGGGCCAAACAGAAAACCATAGGTCCAGTGAGGTCTGTCTCGTTCATAATGCTGCCATCTGCAGGCTTCATTGGGTTTAGAACTGTTAATGTCTTCTGCCATATATGCTCAAAATTGATCCCAAGTTCTGCAACAAGAAATTTCAGGATTTTGTTAATTGCTCACAAGAAAACAACTCTTTTACAAAATTCCATTAGACACCACAAAACTACAAACAAATGTTTCAGTGAAGATAATATTATAGGATGACACATTCTGTAGGAACATAATGTCCCTGCTATATACTCAGTATATTTGAGAGTCAGCTTTCTTTCTAAATTGGAATATTAATGTTTTAAATCCAATATTAGGCAGTGAAACAAAAAATGGCCTCAGAATTTTTGAGTTAATATTTGTTTTTCCTATATTTAAAACACATGTATCTAATGCCACACTAACATAGATATTGAAAGACACATTAATTAACACTAACTGCAGAATTTAAGATACTCTGCAACACTGAGGACAGAGATATATGCTTTAATTCTGGAAAATCTGACAAGAAATGTGTCTTAAGCCTGAACTGCCAAAAGCACTTAAAAATGACATTTGTTCCTTCAAGGCAAGTTTATACTACTTTATACAGCACTTTATAAGCTTGGGGTTTTGTAGTTTGGGTCCTTTTTGGTTTTTTCGGGGGTTTTTTTTTGTTAGGTTGGGATTTTTTTTCTTTTTTGGGTTTTGTTTTTGGTTTTTTGGGGCGGGGCATGTTTGCATTTAAAAAGTAATTAGTGAAATTACCCGGAAACAGAACAAAATTCTGTCCCATTAAAGGTGATGGGAATTCTGCTGTTAACTTTGCTGGGGCAAATCTTTTCTTTTATAACTTCTAGAGAAACACTTCAGGTTGCATGAGTAATCATCTTCCCTGAGATTCTCCAGTAAGGGGAAAATTAGGTTCAAATCTGCTGCCAGAATGACTGAGACTGACAATGTGTTAGATCTGTTGGGAAAGCCAAGTCTTTACCTTGTTCCACCTCTCCATCATCTTGAGCTCAGTCAAAACATTGTATATATAAATCTATTCTGCATTAAAATGTGTGGTTTTGGTCAGATTTATGTGGTACACGGATAGGAATATCTCTGAAGCTTTGCAGATCATAAGCAGTTGTATTACAACATCCTTTCCCCAGGGGGGACCACATGGGGAGTTAAATGGTTGGGGCTCTTAGAGGTAGAGTTGGAGCAGTTATCTATATCAAACAGAATGATCTTGCTGGCTTTAAGGCAGTAGTAGTCCCTTTTGAGTAGTAGAAACTCCAGCTACCTTCCAGTATGCCAAAGTAGCAGGCTGAATATGCTCGTTTTATATTATGATGAAATAATTCCAGACAAATTCTCCTTTTGTTTTTTTTTTTCCCTAATGTAGCACAAGTATTTTGCTAGCGACAAAATCAACCACTAGCATTAGAATGGTCAATCATCATAAAAAACAACATTGCTCATATAGTTAAATGATCAACTAATTGAAACTGAAAGCAGTTTTCTCAATTCCTTCCCCACAGAAACAAGCGACTTAGCATCTGCAAACTACTAAATCTATTACTAGATATGCAAAAAAAGATGATTATCCATTTTCATTAGTTACAGATTTTCCAATATGTGCGGAGGATAAATGCAAGAGTGGAAACAATTTTGGAAACATGAATGCAAAACTATTGTTCTGCTGTCATCTAGCGGTGGCACAGTATATCTGCTCTCGGCCACAGGGCTGCATGAATCCATGGTGCATTCCAAGGAGAAAACGAAGGTTTGGCCACCAGGGGCTTTGGCTGAAGCTCACAGGGTGAGGCTTGCCAGCTCTGCTGCAGTTTCTCCAGTGAGTTCCATCCACCAGCAGGCAAAGAAAGGTTAGAAGCACCCCCAGGAATCCTGCATGTTTTACCTTCTAGCAAAGGAGGCTCCTCGTCAAATCCGTCAACATAACCAAGCTGAGGAGGAGTGTCGGGACTGTAGGCTGGCTGCAGAATCTGCCCCGAGTATCTCTGGGGGGACGGCAGCATGTCTGAGGGCACAAAAGCCCCGCCTGCGGGCTGCTTTTCTGCCGGGCTCCTAGGGCAAGAAGCAAAGCACAGCCAAACTCATAACTACAGTCAGAAACGTCTTAGAGCTACTCACCACCTCCCACCTATTTTTCACCTATTTTCAGTGTGGGGAACCTGGGATTTTTCTGGGTCCAATTCTCGCTGTGGGTAATGAGTGCTGAGCTGCTGACCGTGCCTTTGCAGCTCCCTCAGCAAGCGGGGAAAGCGCCCTGCCAGCCTGCCGGAGCTCTGCAGCCCACCACTCACACTCCCACTCCCACTCCCCCAGTGCCTGCTCCTCCACCCTGCACACGCAGCCCAGAGGGCCGGGATGTGAAAGAGAGCCAGGGGAAGATCTGGAGAGCCAGCACGCGGTTTTTGCTGCGTGGGGACCTGTCCTGATGCCGTGCCCTGCTGAAATGCGGAGCAGAGCTCCATCTGTTCCTGGCTCTTGCTTGGTGCCAGAGCAAGGGATCTTTTACCCTCCACCGATGTCTCCGGCGTCTCCTCTGTGGCAAAGGCGACCAGCCCAGCTGCCCTCAGTACCCTCGGGGCACCAGAGAGTGTCCCCCCGCTGTCGGTCACTTCGGGGCTGGCCGGGGTTCCTGAGAGGCACCCAGAGAGATGGAGACACACTTCCACTCCCACTCCCACTCCCACTTCTTCCACTCCCACTTCCACTCCCACTCCCTCTCCCACTTCCAGGCACTTCTGCCTTTTTATGCCCAGCAGCCTGATGACACTCCTCAGATACGTCCATACTGCAAATGAAAGAGCCACACATTCACATTTTTTTTTCCTCGAATCTCAGAAGGATTCTGAAGAATTTCCTGCAATGTGCACCCTAAATTTCACATTAATAACATGAAGCTTAGTTACTGCTGTCAGGTAAACAACCTGTAACGCCTCTAGTAATAAAAGTAGCACAAAATCAAATCCTTTTGAAAGAAAAACTCACTTATAAACATTCTGCCTTTCTGAAAGTCTAGGTGGTGTTTTGAACTTCTTTCCTGCTCCTGCAAGCCCCAAAGCCAGCCCCAGAACCACCATCTGTTGAAGAGGGAAGCTGAAGCAACACCCACACTTACTTTCTGTTTTCACAGAGGTTTTTGTCTGAGCCATAGCTGTTGCAACCTTCTTCCTGGTCCTCTATGGTATAATTAGATTGGTAAAAGTCGATGTGAAACTGCTCAAAACTTGACATTCTGGTTGGAAAAAATATTGCAAATATCATAAATAGCCTTTATAACAAGCCAAAATCTATGTTTTGAACTGCCCTAAACTTAACAAAGCAAACTGTAAAACCCCAACCTCAAGAGAATCTTTCTGTAGAAGCTCATGATAATTTGGAAGTGACCAAAAAAAAGACCATTTACTTCCTTTAGCTGTAACAAGAGGAATTGACCTGCTTTTACTGGAAATTACAGTCTATTAATTTAAAAGTGGCATACCAGACTTCCTTTCTTGATACTGTTTCCAAAAATAATGCAATTTTGAAGGAAGATACATATCTACAAAATATTTTTTAAACAGTTCATTTTCCTACTTTCAATAAAAAAAAAATTGTGACCATATCTCAATGTTTAAAAATAAAGGAAGTATTTTGGATTTAAAAAACAATTACTATTTACAGCTATTTATGTTTTGCAATATTATATATGACTCTCATAAAACAATAGAAAAAAGCCCCATATTTGTTTACAAAAATCACAGATTTTCTGTTCAAGGACACAGCTGGCACGTCAGTGATAGCACAGAAAGATTCTCACTGACTAGCAACATGACTGGTAAAAGACAGCATACTGGATGATTGAATTGGATTGGTGAGTGAAAGATTTCTCGGTGAAATATATGCTAAAGCATATCTTTCCTTCCTACTGCATGTGTTTCACCACTTGGCTAGCACTTAGGTAGTTAAACCCTTAAAACCCACAGAGAAGTTACATAACCTGACTGAAAACCATAGCCCTATCCAACTTACTTAGATTTTCATGTGAGATATTCATCTCTCCTAACATTTCCCTTTTTTTTTTTTCACTTTTGTCCTCATTTCCAACTTTCCAAATGCCATTGGCAAAATATGCTTTGGACCTTGCAGTTATTCTTAGAATTATCTCAATATTTATCAAGCACACTCTGCTTTTGGGAAAGATCTTTGCAAATCTCTTTGTAAGATAAAAGTGATAAAGATTACTATTTCATCAGGGACCTTAAAATGCTGCATATTAGAATTTCTGATTTTTTTCCCATTATCAGTCTAATCTTTGGGGACCTATTTTCTTATTTTACCTAGAGTTCAAAGTAGAAATTGATCTTTTATTATTTTCTGAACTGCTGATCAATTTTATGCAGGTTTTCCAAACAATTTTTACATTTTAAATATGAATTAATAGAAATAAATTGTACCAAGCTATTTACTGTGGCCTTACTTGGAATTGCACACCACTTAGGCATTCTTTCAATGAAGATTTCAGATGGGGCATGTTTTAAGAAACTTTAGTTGGTAGCTCTACCTCAATAGATCAATTCCAGTAAGCATTTAACGTCCTTCGCTGTCACTACACAGAATGAAATAATTGCTTAACCAGGAATGGTTAACTCTGTATAACAGAGTTCAGAAAAGATACATTTATTTTCCAAAAGAACTTGGAGTTAAGGTTACTTACGTTTTAAGATATTTGGTGAAAACTCCAGTCTGTTGAATTTACGTGTTGAAGAAGACCTAAAATATCCTCTTGCTTCAACAGGGATTAGCTTAGTGCTATTTATAAGATTCTAAATTTGATATTTGAACAGATGCACATGAAGGAAAAAAACCTCACAACCTGTCAATATCAGGGCCAGCATTTAACAAGAGCTAGCAACAATGGGCAGAGAAGGGTGGGAACCTTCGAGGAAAAATGAACAAAATGAACAAACATTGTTCCATATATTTCAACTCAATAATCTAGATTCCTTCTTAAGTAAATATTTATGAAGATCTTGGCAGAGATCTCATTAGCTGAGCTGTTGGACATTAAAAAGTGTCATACTACCTGTTAAAGTAGTGGGGTGAATACACTTATTTGATTGTGTGTTTCTAGCAGCCAGAGCCCTGGAAGGGCTGTGGGATGCTCCCTGTGGGATGCTCCCTGGGAGCCCCATGGCAGAGGGAAGCAGGGAGGGAGAATGAATGCCCTGCTGGGCCAAGTACCGCTGCTGGTCCAGTGCCAGGCCCAGTTCTCCAGGCACATCCCCCTGCCCCATTGCTGCTCCAGGGGCTCTCTCTGTTTGCAAAGCTGTCTCTTGAAGTGCGGTACCCACCATGCCAGGATCAGTGCTAGGAATCTCTATTCCATAGTCCTGGCTACTAGGAAACAGCAGCACAGGCTGGATTTTTAAACAGATTTCAAACTTCAAAGATGACTTTTCAATTTACACCTGCTTTTGTTTGACAAACTTGACTAGCCACAACAAAGGCTGATTTTTCACTTCTTTATTTATTGGGTAGTTTCCCAATAAGCACTTGGGCTGTTAAATTTAAGGAATGCAACATTAAATTATATGTATTATCAGGTAATAAATCTATGCCTCAGGTGCATATTCAATCCTGTGATGTTGAAGGCCAGATAATTCCACTTCATTAGTGGAACAATGACGGACTGTAAGCACATGACTTACAATGCTACAGAAGAGTTATAACATAAGTGCATTTTAAATAACTTAAAATGAAGTTTACCAAGTTTTTGCGCACTAAGTATGTCCAAGAAAGAGTTCAGAAGTAAAGAATGGTGAGAAGGAGAAAAATGTAACATTTGATTCTGAAAATTAAGGGTAATCTAGCTGAAGTATTTATCACAGCTATTGTTAAATCTCCCTCATGTTCTGCTATTTCTAGAGTAACAATTCATGCTGCTACCAAGTCACCATGTCCACCAAGGTGAAGTTTAATTTTTTACTCTTAGCAAACTGCTAATCTCTATAATGTCTAATCATCTCAGTTTAGATAATATGGCTTCATCTCATTTATACTGAATCCGTGGGGGCAATGATACAGGATTAACTTCTGTCTGTCAGGAAGGTAATTCCAAAATTTCTTTTTAGGAACAGAAAAGTCCTGATTTGCCTGGGTGTTACCTGTTTATTTAAACTATAAAAGTGCTTTGATTACTTTTGCTACTTTCTGTTAGAAATACAAATGTATATATACATCCATACAAAACCTGGGAATAATTATCAGACAAAAAACTTCAGAGAAAGAATTTAAATAGAAAAAAATACAATGAAGAGTAGTGGAATGTGGTCAAATAATACTTCAACAGCCATTTAATAGCCACAGGTAGACAAGAAAGCCACCTGTAAATTAAAAAAAAAAAAAGAAAAAGAAAAAAATGGAACTTAAAATTGAGCCATATATATTTCTCTCCTTATATAAAATTATTATACAACTTATAATACATATTATACATAAATTATACACATATATTACATTAATATCCCTGTGGACACACACATATCCACAAATACAAAAATAGAAATAATATTAGTTGGAAATGAGAAGTAGATGATCAAAAAATAAAAAGAAGGTAAGTTTAAGTAGTTGATAGGAAATTGTCTGATAGAGAGAAGGACTGCCCAAGTGCATTAAAAGCAGACAAAATTGTATTGCTACTGCCATGCTCCTATCAGATGTAAAAATAAAAGTATCAATAAAACAAAAAGACAGATGCATTTATTAGAAATGCTAAAATCACCATTTTAAAATTCTGCATCTAAAAGTTTTAGAAGAAATGGCTAAAACCTTTCTATTTTGTTGAGTAATAAAACAACGGGAAAGTTTGTGAAGATCAAAAATAAGTAAACGTGCTATCTTCTAAAAGGCTAAATAAGATGCCTTGAGTAATTATTGGCCTGTTCCCATGAGACTGATCCTAGCAAATTATGGGCTCAAATAATAACTAACTGTGTTGATGAATCCAATCAACATGGGCTTTTGGAAACGAGCTCATTTCAAAGTAATTTATTTCCTAACAAGATTTGTAGTTGGGAAAGGTAAGCACTGATGACCCATATTTATACAAAGCCTTTTACTTTATTTTGGTTCAATAGATATGTAACCATCACTGCTCAGTGTGACACCCGTTATACTGATTAAATTAGTGCTATCTGATGTGTCTCAAATGTAATTGGGAAAGAGGGGAGGATTTCCACTGAAGCCATACAGGACAGAAGTTTTGCAAAGATCACCCAGCAGACACTCAGGTGTGTCACAGGTACCTGATGTTCAGTCCATCACTGAGAGTCCATCACACCAGACCAGGCTGTCACAGATGCATTAACATAAAGGAAAAATAAATTATTGCGCTTAAAGGCTTTAGAACAGAGTTTGAATATAACTCTACTTTTTTTTGAATGGCAGGTTCAGAAGATGCTAATAATCTATGGGGAAGATAGTTTGGATGAGATCTAGTCCTCAAAAATGAAAATTAAAGCTGGGGAATACAAAAAAGATGAAGAAAATTAATTAAAAACATGAGAACTTCTAGAAGAAATTAAAACATTTTTCTTAAAATTAACTCCTAGGTTTTCATTTACCTACTTTCTTCCTTCTTTCCTGAAAAGAGAAATGTCATCAGTTTTCATAAATTTACATTTTCATTTTCATGGGGGTTTTTTATGAAATGGGATGATACTTCAACTTTTTTAAACTTATGGGGAAGCATTTTTTGGAAAAAAAAATAATAGAATTAAATGAGATTAAATGGGAAAAGATAGAAAAGACTATACAACTCTGGCTTTAGAATCAGCTACGTAACCACACATTTATTACTTAAAGTAGACTGATGAGTATGGCAAATCCATTATAATAATTAGTCAATTATTTTATAGTTTTTTGAAATGTAAAAATTGATCTTATTAAGGATTAATTCAGCAAGCCTTAAGCTTAATTACATTTACAGGCCCCATTAATAATTTTGTAAGTGGACATTATTAAAATGTGCTCCTAAAGAAGAGATGAAAATTTAATTGCAAAGAAATATACCACTTGCTACGAAATAGAGTTTTTTACCAAATTAATTACTTATATTATATAAAGTGGTTGCTTAGTGAATTTTATGTCTCAGACATATCTTTTGCAAGAGATGAATTCTTTCCTGTAACTGGTCTTCAGAGGGTGGATAAGATGCAAATAAAAAAAAAGTGAAATCCAAAGCTATTAATGTTTTCTTTTTTATGCTTAACAAGTTTGCTAGACTTGAACAAACAAATGAGAAGTTACAGGTTCCTGCATGAATAATTGTACCTATCAACACCCATTGCAAATCAAACACACAATTCTCCTGCTAGTCATTATTAGAAAAAGAGAGTGAAACAGAGGGCATCATTATATCACTGCATGTATCTGTGATTCACTGACAAGTCGAATATTGCAAACAATTCTAGCTGTGCTCCCTCAGAAAGTATTTGGGAGGATGGTGATGTGCTGAGAGAAGAGCAGGGGAGTTGTGTGTGGAACAGCTCCATCTAAAAACAACCAGGTCAGGTCCTCGGGCTGCAGAAGCAATCATTAATTGGGGTTTATGAAACTGTGTGACAGGGACTGCTGGGTAGGGAAAAGCTGGGACACTTTCTTCTGTAAGACAAACAAAATTCACAAGGTGTTCAAAACTAGGAAGAACAAAGGTTCATGGGTGACAGACTGGTGGAAATCCATGTCAAAGGAAGTTATGCATGTTGAATATCTATATGGATCTGAAACAAGTCCATGAAAGTTAAAACAACTAAGAATTGCTGAATGTATAGAAACACTATGCAGCTCAAGAAGCCAATAAACAAGAATTAGTAGAAGACTAGAAAAATATTAGTGGGAAGAATTCATGATCATCCTTGTGTGTTCAATCATTGTCATTGTTAAACACAGAGTTTCTCTTTTGACTTATATGACCATTCAAATCCTTTTATGTTTTTGAAGGAGGAAAGCAACACATAAGATTACAGATTCAAATACAAGAACAGGGAAGAAACTCATTGCATAAGACCATAACCATCCTTAATTCTACATGGGCTGAATTTGCTGATTTCCAACAATTAGCAAAACACTGCTTTGTACGGCTTCTGTGATACCTTCCCTTCCACTCAGCTTTTATTTCTGATTGGAGTCCTTGTTCTCTCACCTCTGTTGTGAGTTAGCTGACTTCCAGTTTCAGATTCATAATACATATCTTCTCCATCCAGACTTTTTTCCTATCAGAAGCACCAAAAAAACCAAACCAAACCAAACCAAACCAAACCAAACCAAACCAACAAACCAATGAACAAGACCACAACAAAAAAAAAAAAAACAAAACCGAAAAAAAACCCACCCAAAAAAACAACAACAACAAAAAAAAACCCTTAAAAACCCTTCAGATGAAGCTTTTTTTGATGTATGGATAACACACAAGAGCTGGTTCCCAGCTTGATTCTTTGGTGTCTAATAAGCATGAGTGATGTTTTTATGTTTTGCTTAGTGTAGGTACCAACACAATTTCTTACCTCCTAGTAGGTGGCTATTTTCATGACATTTGTAGAAAGCTTATTAGCATTAAGAGCTCTCTCTCTCTGTTCAACATATTCAAAATTCCCCAACAAATTCAAAATTGTTGTGGAGAATGCCAGAACAGGTAGATAAGGAGCATGGTGCAGCAATACTTGGTCCTTAAGAAATAAAGGTTTGTATGTATTTGAAAAGATAGCAATAAATAAATAAACCTTCAATTATTTAGTT